TCTTAACAGCCAAGCCACCTCTCCAGCCTGTGTTATATTTGACAACTTGGTTGGTTGGTGGATATACATTTAGGATTATTGCGCTTTCTTGGTATAGTGACCCTGTTTTATTATGTAATTTCCTTTTTCTTTAAAAAATTTTTGTTTTGTTTTTTTGAGACGGTATTTCTCTGTGTGACAACTCTGGCTGTCCTGGAACTGGCTTTGTAGACCAGGCTGCCCTCGAAATCACAGAGATATGCCTGCCTCTGTCTCCTGAGTGCTGGGATCAACAGTATGCACCACCACTACTCAGCTTTAAATTTTTTTTTTTAATGATACAAGTTTTAATTATTTTAGGCTTAAAAATAGAAACAGTCTACATGCTATTAAAAATATATACTTTTCCTCAGGAATACTAAAATCTTATTTATAGTACATTTAAATCAGATTGCATTGTCCATGCCACTCACTGCCCGATCATTTGATATCCCAAATCTCAGAATGTCTGTTTCTAGTTTTTAGTGTACAAATGTGTTCTCCACATTGCAGTATTAATGCTGAGCTTAGAATCAGTTTACAAATCCTCATGAAGATGTGGAAAATCATTACGAAAATCAGTGACAAGGGCTGGAGGAATTAAGTCACAACACAGAAACTTTTAAGTTATTTCTAAGTCTAGCTTAAGCATTCTCATGTTCAGCAGTTTGAAATGGTTTCCTTTCGTTTCAGTCATAACAAGTCTGTAGAAGATCACCAGATCCCATGTTATTCTAGAGATACCTTATTCTGTACCATTATTTCTGTTTTGTCCATTTTCTTACTGAAATTTATCCCGTGAGAATTTTCTATGATTCTGACCCAGTCTTTTCTTCTTTTGAAATTGTTAAGTTTTCAGCCACTGGGGGTATTTATAGTGAGACTGAGCTGAAAACAGAAGTTAGTCATTTGATAAGCAAACACTTCTTCATCCTTGCCCAGGGGCAGTCTTGGCAAGGTCTGGTCTGAGGCTGGAGTGGAACCTTAGTTCCTGGGAACCTGGCTTTTCCTCCTTGAAGAGACTGGAGTTATCCGTCCCCAGGCCACTGTGTGCTCAGTCTGTGATGCACTTGAGATACCCTGTGTCCCCTTGTGCAACATTGCTTGGTTAGCTTCCTGCTGACGCCATCTTTTCATCAGGGCCTCTGAGAAAACCTTGGGTTGACCTGGCACCCAACAGAGAAAAGTGGTGAACTCAGAGTTCAACTCTCTTCATTTGATATTTCTCTATGCCAGATTTAGCCTGATCTTAGTTTCTTAGGAAAACATTTCAGAAAAAGAAGTCCATACTTGGTTTTTAAAAGTTATTTATACAGTTTTAATTCTAATTATGCATATTTCCAATTCTATTTTTCATAAATATTTGCTTTATGTATAAATTTGATTAAGTATTTCAAGTAGATGATTGCATATATTTTTAACAGCATTCAACTATGACCTCAACACTGAGGAGATTGGGTGAAGACATATTTAAAGGAGTGGCAATTAAAGGAATTCAGGATAATTCTTCAGAGCATTCTGTAGAGAACAAACCAAAGACAGCAGTATTCTTCAAGAGCTCCAGTTTGTCGCTGAGATTTTTATCAACCTTGATTGTCCTTAAAACAGTCACTCAAG